GTATTAGTCTTCCTACGGTGATCTCTTTTGTAGTTTGTTTTTGGAGAGGTCACACCCGGCAGCGCTCAGGGTTGACTCATGGCTCTGTGTCTGGTAGGGTTCTGGAGCTCCTAGGGGATGCCAGTGATAAAACCCAGATTGGCCGCATTGAAGGCAAGTACCCTCCCTGCTGATCCTCCTCTGTGTGCGTGTGTATGTGTGTGTGTGCGCCGCATGGGGGTATTAATTGAAATGTTTTAACTATCACTTTAATGTTGTTTTTGATTTGGTAGAGTGTGTAATCACCAAGCTGCTAGGAAACCCCATGGCTCGTTCTCGCCACCTGCATTCATTACGCGGTCGAGGACTGCTCCCCATGGGGGACTGCCAATGCCATGTGCAGATGGAGGAGGAAATGAGAGCCAAGTTAACAGCATCTGATTAGCATATAAAGGTAATTGACCGGTTGGGGAAGCAAAGCACAAAGAAAGAGATTACAAATAAACACAGAGAAATTGGAGCACTGTGATGGGAGTAACCCAGTAAACCTAAGCTCCCTGTGACAAGGCAGAAAGGATAAACCAATGTTATCCTACAGTAGAGGAAGGAGAAAATTTGTTTATATCAATGGGTCCTTGTAGAAAGGACTAGTACAAATAAATCCCACATATGCACAGATTAAAACTAAATCAAATGGCCCAGAGTGATACTACAGCGGGTAGGGCATTTGCCTTTCACACGGTCAACCTGGGTTCCATCCTAGGCATCCCATATGGTCCCCCAAGCACCTCCAGGAGTAATTCCTGAGTGCAGAGTCAGGAGTAACCCCTGAGCATCGCTGGGTGTGACCCCTAAAGACAAAAAAAAAGACTAAATCGAGAAATAGTAGTTAAAGAGCACATTTTGTTTTTGCTTTTGTACTGTACTGAAGCTGTACTGAGGGCTGACTTCTGGTTCTGTGCTAAGGGATTATTTATGGTGGGCTCAGGAGATACTTGGTAGAGCTGGGGATGGAAATGGGTTTACCGTATACAGGGAAAATGCCCTATCCTCTGTACTATCTCTTCAGCCCCAGAGAGCACATTTTAAAGACAGATCATAGATGCACAGCTACAGAAAAGTTGTGCATAAGAAGGAAATCAGAAGTGTATTATTTTATTAACCTATGATATAGAGCTGACAATTATTTTATTAACCTATGAAATAGAAGTTGACAATTTTAACTCTGTATGTAGTAGCTCTAGAGCAACGTGGGCTACTTGTCTGGACAGAATGAAGATTCTCATTTTGTGTTTCCAAAAGACCTTGTTAGAAACCAGTATGTCTGTGATTACAAATAATGTCTGCAGGGGGCAGCACTAATAACAATCTGGGAAAGATCTTTTCTTGCCACCGGGTTTGTCCTGTCTATAGTAAGATGATTTTATATCCTCTAGCTAGAACATTTCTCTCCAAGTAACAAAAATATCATTGAGCATTGCTCTCTCTCATTCTGGTTGAACAAATCACTGGTGCTTAAAACTACACCATGAACTATCATAACTCACTTTTTTTTTCTTTTTGCGTCACATCCAGCAATGCTCAGGGGTTACAGGGGTTACTCCTGGCTCTGCACTCAGGAATTACTCCTGGTGGTGCTTGGGGGACCATATGGGTTGCCGGGGATTGAACCCAGGTCAGCCGCGTGCAAGGCAAATGCCCTACCCACTGTACTATCGCTCTGGCCCCACATAACTCACTCTTAACTGTAATGAGTGAATCATAGCAATGAGGGAATAGGAAACATCAAAAGTTTAGTTGCAAACAATATAAAATAAATTATTTCAGTTCTTCTTTGGGGCAGGAGTAGGGGTTCAGGATGGAAACATCCAAAATATGGTGGTGGGATTGGTGTTCGAATATTAAGTGTAATCAAATATTGTAAACTATTTTGTAAAAATTAAATAAATTTTTTTAAAGTTTAGTTGTACAGTAATATTATGTAACCATTGAAATGAACACTTTTGTTTATCCATCAACAATGCAATGAACACAACAATTTTCTGTGAATTCACTTGAAATAACTCTCAGGTTATAACAGGTTCTTGGTTTCTGAGTATAGTGGACAGGGAGCTTACCTTGCATTCAACCAACTCAGAATCAATCTCTGGCACTCCATAGGGTCCCTTGAGCCCCGCCAAGGATGATCTCTGAGCACAGAGTCAGGAGTCAGCCCTGAGCATTGCTGGGTGTGGTTCCCAAACAAGCAAAACTAAAAAGTTCTTGGCTTCAATTCTTTCACTCTCTCTCTCTCTCTCTGTCTCTTTCTATCTCTCTGTCTCTCTCTCTCTGTCTTTCTCTATATCTCTGTCTCTGTCTCTGTCTGTGTGTGTGTGCGTGTGTGTGTGTGTGTGTGTGTGTGTGTGTAGCGTATGTTATTTGTTTTACCCACTGGTGGTGCCACTGAGAGAGAAGCCTCCATGTAAAAGCGTGAAATCCTCCTTTGATGTGTGATGATGGATATGGGAAGTCCTTTTCCCAGTGGAACATCAGGAAAGAACAAATATTAGAATGAGGAATGAAACGAAATAAAACAAAAACCTTTTTTTTTCCTTAAGGACAATTTTCCCAAGACATTAAACTCATGTGGATCCAGTTTAATTTCTTAAAATTCATTCTCCACAAACAGCCTCCAGTATTTATGCATGAGACAACTGGCACTAATCACTCAGTTGAAGTTTTCTCTGCATGTGTTCTAAAAATCTGTCTGGATGAAGCCGTTGTGTCTCCAAGCACTGATGTGTTGGAGACACCCAGGTCAGCCTCATGTGCGGCAGGCATGCAGGTCCTGTACTCTCTCTCTGCTCTCCTCAATGCTCATTTTTGTGCACTTGAGGGAGACATGCAGCTAGTGCTGCAGCTTGATCCTGGCTCTGTGCTCAAGGACCACCCCTGGCAGGCTTTGCGGGTATCTGGTGTGTTGGGATAAAACCCAGGTTGGCCCCCTGCAAAGTAAGAAAGCTGTCCACTGTATTTTTATCTCCGTATTTTATTTCTAAACGCTAGATTTTGTTCCTTTTGCCTCTCTGCTGTCTTCCTTCGCCTATTAGCGCTTTTCATAGTGACCTACTTTGATGACACTCTCTCTATGTTATGAGTATCTAAGTAGATCTTTCATGATGTGGTTATCAAATAACTAAATAAGAGAGAAAAAAAAGCAACTAGTTTCAAGATGTTCATATTTATTTCATGCAAAGTCTACACTTTTATTTCATACTCCTGTTTTTATATGTTACTTTGTGTACTTGTTTTTAAATTTTTATTTATTCATGGTGTAATAGAAATGCCAAAAACAGTAACAAGTCTCACAATGGAGCCCGCCTGAACAAATCAGTGAACAACAGAAGGACAGTGCTACAGTGTGGTGCCTATATAATGAACAAGTGTCTTGATTATTCAATTTTGTGGTGTAATAGTCGAAGAAAACACTTAAAATATCACATTATACTCAGAGTGGTCTTCACTTGAACACGAGGCTGTCTTTACCAGTATGTTCGATATATTGATGTTTCATGTTAGCAAATTTTATATTGTGTTTTTAACTTTAAGGTGTCTTTCCACGATTTCTTATTATTTTTGTCAAACTGCAGTGCCCTGTTTCCTTACCTGTTGAGTTGAAAACAATTTGGAATTCATGTTGTTGGGTATTTTATCTGTGGTGCTATAATTTCAGCACTTCAAATCTATTCCCTTTTCTTCTAGACTTAAAATGCTCTTCTGAGAAAGCCAGTAATGATGTTATGGATGTGTCCTCCTCAGTGAATGATGTTATTCTCATAAGTAATATAATTTCTCCTAGTTGGTATATGTTTAATTTCATTATGGGCCTTAGAGATAATTTTCACAAGTGATGCGTGAGTTGATGCTTAATTGTATGAATTTGGTTGACAAAGCCTCTCCTCCAGACTACGGAGTTTTCTCAAACATTGTTTACCTTTGTAAAAGTGTTTTGCTTTAATTCTTGTTTTATAAACATTTTATTAATTTACTATTGGTTTCCAAAACTATACAAGTCCCGGAAGTACAGATTCACCACTTGATTTATGCATATGCCTCACCACTCCAGACAGCAGAGTTTTTGTACCTACCAATTTTTATCTACATCCATTTCTCCCATCATGTTCTTTTATTCTTGTCAACAATCAGTTATAATTATACTTTGTGAATTTTTTCATTTATTTAACTCATTTTCTAATAAACTTATGGAATCTTTGCCTGTTCCTTTTCATATTTACAACTGTTCTTGGACTTATGTTATTGGTTGACATACTGAGTGTAAATGCATATCCTACTCAAATATTAGTGCTCTAATAACCAACATATTTGGGGGGAAAGCATACTATATATTCCATGAATAAAAATACATACTATCTGTAATCTAGGATAAAGTGCTGATGAGTAATCTTCATTTTACTCCCGAAATATTAATAATGTTGCTTAATGCCATTATATGAATGATAAACCTAGTTGAGCCCTTAATCCTATTTAATCCCTTATTTACTTTGATTCACAGTTTAGATGGCAGTGATAGGATGTTCTCTAATTGTGAAGAAGCTAAATGGCCATATATGCTTACGAAGCAGTACTAATAAGTTACATCAATTTGCATGTTTATTCATTAATATTTATATAAATAAAGTAACAGATTTATATTTAAGCAGAAATAAAATGGAAAAAATTAATACATCATAGGTTGTCTCAATATACACAAGCACTGTGGAAATACTAAATAATGAATAAATATTAGAAGCACAATGTAAAGACTCCAGGCTAATTCACACCCAGAAAAAGACAAGAAAAGCTAAGAAATAGAGAGACAATAAAACCCAGCCCATAGGATTAATTAAGGTGAATATAGCTAATGTTAAATAAAGAATATTTGAGGCAGTAGACAAAAAAATTCAACATCCATAGACAAACAATATAATCACATTTATAGCTCTAACATTTACACCTCAACAATTGTGTGTACATCCTTATTCCTAGGACAGGTGTCCTGTACTTCTCTTCACAAACAAAGATTTCAGCGCACTCTTCATTTGGTTATTTCTCAGACTGTAAATGAAGGGATTGAGCATAGGTGTGACCACAGTATACATCACGGAGGTTATTGAGTTTGACCGTGAGTTGTGAGTAGTAAGAATATTAGAGCTAAGATACACTCCTAGGATTGCAGAAAAAAATAAGGAGACCACCGAGAGGTGAGACACACAGGTGGAAAATGCTTTATACTTGCCCTGCGCTGAGGAGATTCGACGTATGGAGGAAATAATCTTAGAGTAAGAATAGAGGATCCCAACCAGGGACCCAACACCCATAAGAACAGCTGCAAGATACAACACCACGTTATTGATTAAGGTGTCAGAACAGGCAAGTAAGATAATCTGTTTGAGTTCACAAAAAAAGTTGTCGATCTTCAAGTCTGTGCAAAAGGACAGTGGCAATGTCAATAAGCTGTGCAACAAGGAATTAAAGTTGCTCAACATCCAGGACCCCAAAACCAGGAGCCCACAGACCCGGGGGTTCATGATGACTGTGTAGTGCAGGGGGTGACAGATGGCCACGTAACGGTCATAGGCCATCACGGTCAGCAGACAGATGTCCAGGCCAGAAAAGAGTACACAGAAATACATCTGTGCAAAGCAGGCTCCATACACTATGGCTCTATTCTGCCTCTGAGTGTTCAATAGCAATGTTGGGACGGTAGTGGAGGTGAAGCAGATGTCCACAAAGGACAGGTTGGACAGGAAGAAGTACATGGGCGTGTGGAGATGAGGGTCAGAGATGACAGCCAGGATGATGAGCAGGTTCCCCAGCACAGTGATCAGGTACAAAGAGAGAAAAATCACAAATATGAAGGACTGTAATTCTGGTTCCTCTGAAAATCCCAACAGAATAATTTTCAGGATGTGTGATTCATTTTCTGGTTTAATATTATGGATGTTTTGTCTAAGAAAGAGGACAACAGCAGGATAAGTTTTCATGTTAACCGGCTTCACTCACATATTGAAATACTGTGATTTATAGCAGCATTCAAGACACTGTGGATAACATTGCCTATATCTCTTTTATTCTTTTCTTCATTCTCCCATTTGATAATAAAGTTTTGTTCCTATCAGCTCTGTCCTTATGTGATCTTGTGTCTTACAATTTTATGAGATACTCTTGTTTTATTTCATGATATTAATAGAGTGCTCTTCTTAACTTAGGCAATAATTAGGCACTAACTAGATAAAAACATACAGAGCTGACTGATAAAAGCATACAGTCAGCTGCTGTGTGATTCCAAAAGGGACAAAGCAAATCCTTTGTCCGTTTTCTTAAGTGGAATCTTTTCACTTTTATTCTGAGATTTTAGGTTTACACATCTTTCTTGCACACTCTAGTCCTGACTTCATCCAACATGCAACAACCTTGCCCACGTCACACTCTATCACTTTGACCACACCGTGTATTTCAAGATGGGTAATCATCTTTATGTGATTATTCCTAGGGCCTTTGTATCATATACACACTTATTTTATCATTCTCTGTAATTATAATATATAATCCATAACATTAGGAACTTCCATTTCTCTGTTCAGCTTTTTTTAATATAACAGAATATGAATACATATGCACTTGTGCAGAGACAACACAGGCATAGGAGAAAACTGAACAAAAGACAGCAAAAGCTGGCTATGGAACACAATTCAAAATAAGCTGTCAACCCAAGGACAGTAGATAAAAGGGCCAGGAATATTGCTTGATGGTTGGAAGCCTGTCTCACAAGCTTGGGGAAAAGGCAGCTGGAATAGATAAGGGACCACTAAGTCAATGATGGTTGGAAGGATTGTTCGGGATGGGAGATGTGTGCTGAAAGTAGATAAAGGACCAAACGTGATAGCATCTCAGTATCTGTATTGCAAACCATAATGCCCAAAAGCAGAGAGAAAATATTGGGGAAATTATCTGCCATAGAGACAGGAGGAGGGTTGGGATTGGATTCGGGGGTGGATACTGAGGACATTGGTGGTAGAAGATGTGCACTGGTGGAGGGATGGGTGTTCAATTATTATATGACTGAAACTCAAACATGAAAGCTTTGTAACTTCAGCTCACGGTGATTCAATAAAAATTTTTTAAAAAGTTGTCAAAGTAACTACCACAATCAAAATTACAAGAAATAAACACTTAAGCAAGTTAACATATAATGATAGGTCACTGATATCAACATAGCAGAACAATTTAACCGTCAAAATCCTAGACACAGAACAATGTAACAATCCTATATATTTTTGCACCATAGGGGATCCTTATTTTCATTTATGGACTCAATTTATAAATTTGGTGTCAGGGGTTACAACTTAAGGCACGACTGTATTTTAGTTGATCTAAGGAGAAGTTTCAAACGACCATCTCCGAATGCAACAGCTATGTGTACCTAGGTCGAGAGGTCAACATGACAAATGACCTGGCACCCGACCTGAGCAGGAGGAAGAGAGCGACTTGGAACGCCTTCAAGAACATCGAAGAAATAGCTAAGAGGACGAAGAACCTCCGGCTCAGAGACCTGGGCCCTACGCAAACAAGATGAGAACGCTATTCAGGTCTCCCAAAGAAGAATAGAAAGAGCTATGCTTGGAATATCACGTTTCACTCAAATGAGAGAAAGAATCCGGAGTTCTGACATCCGTCGACGATCAAGAATCAGGGCCGCTGTCTCATTGGCCAAGGTGTCGAAAATCAGAAGGGCTGGTCACGTAATGAGATTTAAAGACGACCGCTGGACTAGAGCTGTTACCGACTGGATTCCACGGGATGTCAAAAGACCACGTGGCCGCCCACCTACCAGATGGTCAGACTTCTTCGTCAAGATCATGAACTATCGGTTTGAGGCCCTTCATGTTCCCGGAGCAAACAGATGCCATTGGGCTACACTAGCACACGACAGGGACAAATGGAGACGTTACTGGTGCCTGCTCGAGCAAATCGACGACTAACAGGAAGTTAAGTGATTAAGTGATTAAGTGAAGGAGAAGTTTCAAATAAAATTGGGATATTTCTGGAGAAATATGAATTGTACTTTCCCTTACACATTTGACAAGTATCAAGAGTAATTAGAACTCAGAACAATAGTAACGAACAAATTTACATTTGAAATCACATACTCATGGTACATGGAGGGAAACCTGTAATTTAAACAAAATGAGAAACTCAATAGCTAAAATTTCAAAAATACTTAAATAAAAATTTTAAGTTGTTATAGAATATCCTGCATTTTTGGTAATGTGGTAGGCACTGTGGTGTGGAATCATATACTCAGAGAGTATAATTATAGTTATGAAAACTACTGTCATCACAATAAATATATGTGCTCCAAAAGCTAATAAAAATCAGCAGAAATTATCTGAAATATTAACTGTAGGAAAAAATTAATGTGTGCATATGAAAAAATGGGTCAGGGGCTGGAGCGATAGTATAGTGGGTAGGGCGTTTGCCTTGCACACAGCAGACCTGGGTTTGATCCCTAGTGTCCCATAAGGTCCCTCAAGCACCACCAGGAGGAATTCCTGAGTGCAGAGCCAGGAGTAACCCCTGAGCATCGCTGGGTGGGTGGGTGGGGAGGGTCAATTAATACAGTTAGCAAAGATAATAATCTTATTGAAATTCAGCATTTGTAAATTTTCTTTCACATTTTCTCTCGCCTAAGCAGAGGGCTTACTCAGTAATATGCTTCCTGGACCGTTAAAGTTTTAAAGGCTTCCTGGTCACATTGTGTGTGCTTAGGGGACCCAACAGTGGCAGGAATTAAACCGAGGGTCAGGCGTGTGCTCCTGATCCTCAAGCTTTCTACACAATTCAACACTGGGAATATTTTAAAATTAAGAAAATAAAAAAAATCTCTTTGAGATCCTTGTATCAGGGAGCTGGAGGGAAAAAAATTTCCATCACTCTGATGGAGTTGGAGATGCACTTGTGTGAGCAAAATCAAAGTGCCACAAGGTTAGAGAAAACCTGAAGACAACTATAGCATATTACGGTTAATGATTTTTTTTAAGTTAGGATTTTCAGTTTATCACGGCTTACTTTCTGAACTAAATATTCTCAGTAATGTGGTCAGATCAATGGATGGACGTTTAGAACCAACCAGCTACCTCCACTGTACTATACAGAAATGTTTCTGGAAGTTGCTTGGTGAACCCTAGTTGACATTATCACCTCTGCTTCTGACCATGAGTGAATTTGAGACTCTCAACCCAATTTTCTAGCATTGATATAATAGCAGTGTATCAATAAGAATCAAAAAGAGGGGCAGAAGTTTGCCTTGCATGCAGGGTTTGATTCCTGGAATTCCTTATGGTCCCTTGAGCACTTCCAGGAACAATTCCTGAGTACAGAGCTAGAAGTAACCCCTGAGCATCACCAGTATGACCCAAAAAGCGAAACAAATAAACAAATAATCATTTATTTATTTAAAAAAGAATCAGAAAGATTACCAGATTGTGTATAATACTGTCACACTGAAACATTTTTAAGCTACTGAAATAAATACATTCATTCAATAATCAGATTATCTAACCTTCAGTGTCCTGCCTCTGGGCTCCTAGTTGGATTTTTTTTTTTGTTTTTTGGTTGTTTTTTTTTTTTTTAAATATGGAACACTTCACGAATTTGCGTGTCATCCTTACACAGGGGCCATGCTAATCTTCTCTGTATTGTTCCAATTTTAGTATATGTGCTGCCGAAGCGAGCACTCTTAGTTGGTGTTTAAAGAGACTGCAGGTCAGTGCCCTTGACTTCCTCTCTCAGTGACTCTGACCAGATCAAGGTCAGTTATTGAACTCACCTAGATGTGAACTCAGAGAGGGAGGTCTCCATAGAAAGGTCTGAATTCCTCATCCAGTCGTGGAGAATGAAGATTGAAGTTCCTTTCCGTGGAATAAAAACAGCAGGAAGCAACTTAGTGTCTTTTCTCCCAGCAATAATTTGGAATGAAAACAAACAAGGAACCAAATTGTCCTCTCCAGCCCAAGTGTGCTTGTGTAGCTGAGACACAGGAGATATAAAGATATTTACAGCTCCCCCCACCTGCTCATTAGAGACTTTTGTGTCATGTTTCTCCCATCTCTAAGTACGCGATTCCCTTGTGGAAAACACCACTGGACAAAATAATTTTTCGTAATTCTCTTATCCCAAGATATGACTACTCAATGAATCAAGTTTAGTGGTTGTTTTTAACTTCTTTAATTTCTTCTCCGTGAATAGCTGGCCACCCACATGCCGCAACAATTAGCCTTCATCTTCTTTTGAGTTGAAAGTTTTCTTCACTTCACAAAGGAACCTGTCTTTGTCACTTCAAAGCATTGTCCTGGTTGGATGCGTTACTTAAGCTTTAATGCCACGAAATTGCGTTCTCCTGTACAGGAAGAGGAAAAAAAACTGATTTTAAATCTCCTGGTCCATTCACTGGCTTCTTTTGGCTCACTGTCTTTTAAGCTGTAATTATTTTTTTTCTTTTTGGGTCACACTCAACGATGCACAGGGGTTACTCCTGGCTCTGCATTCAAGAATTTCTACCCCTGGCAGTGCTCAGGGAGCCATATGGGTTGCTGGGAATAGAACCTGGGTCACCCACGTGCAAGGCAAAAGCCCTACCCGCTGTGCTATCATTCCAGCCCTCAATAATAACATTTTCAAGGTAGAATGTGACTTCTACAGATGGGAAGAAGCCCTAAGTGTCTTTGAGGATGGGGCTATCCCTAGATAAAAATTTTTTTTTTCAAATTGCCTTGGCCTTAAGTCTTCTGTAGGCATGAGTGTCAACCAGGGTATTATCACAGAAAAAGAACCTTTATGTTCTTAACTCAGCATTTTTCGTTCTGCTGAAGTTTCTCCTCTACTACAGAAGAGCAGTCTGTTATGCTCAGTTCCTGTGGCCAGTATGGAATTCAGGCCTTCATACTTTGGAGTTAGTGCAAGAGGAGCTGGAGCCATAGCACAGTGGGTAGGGTGTTTGCCTTGCACATGGCCAACCATTCCCAGTATCCCATATGGTCCCTCGAGCACCACCAGTGTAATTCCTGAGTGCATGAGCTAGGAGTAACTTCTGTGCATCACTGGTTGTAACCCAAAAAATAAAAGAAAAAAAGAGTTAGTGCCAGAGTTCTTTGAATCCCTTCTTCATTTTATTACTTACTGAGATATCATTGCCAAGATATTTCTTTCCTATTGCCACCCTACCACCAATCTATCTGTCTTTAACATGAAGCAATACATTTCCCAAATGGACATTTTGATACTGTCTGGAGGTATCTGGTGACTTGGGTACACGGAGCTGATTTCGATGCAGTCCTTGACTAATGGTCGACAGACACGGACTACAGGCTGATGGCACTGTAGACAATTTTATTTAGTATCAATAGTGATGTCACAGCTGTAGGGCATTTGCCTTGCGCGCAGCCAGTCCGGCCAAGCTGGGTTCAATTCCTTCAACCCTCTCAGAGAGCCCGGCAAGCTACCAAGAGTATCTCGCCTGCACGGCAAAGCCTGGCAAGCTCCCCTGACGTATTTGATATGTCAAACACAGTAACAACAAGTCTCAAAATGGAGGCGTTACTGGGCCCACTAGAGAAAATAGATGAACAACAGGAGGTCAGTGCTACAGTGCATCAATAGTGATGGGTAAATGGAATACAATCCATGCAGGACGAGGGAATGTTGTCAGCTGGAGATGAAAATCTAGATCAATGATGACATGGGGAAGATTGGTATAGGCAGAAGCAAAACTATTTATCAAAATTCCATCACTATTGCCAACCAGTTATTTGTCTAGATTCCATTATTGCCAGTTATTTGTCTAGATTCCATAGGTGTCAACATCCCATGTTTCAAACACAACCATGGTGATTGCCAATCATTAATCTATCCGAGAAATATCAGCCCCATTACTCAACTCTGTCACCCCTGTCAGTGTCCTGGGAACATTCTCACAGTTTAACAAGTCCACTTGGTTTCAAAGCTTTGCCAGAAGAAGATCCAACCATGTTTTACTTTTTTTTTTTGGTTTAAGAACTCTTTGGTGACAGTAAATAAAACATGCATTTGAAACAGTAGTCCTAATGTATTAAACTTCCCGAAGATGCTCACATCAGTGACCCCGATTATTTGATTTTTACAGTGAGAGGTACTAAGTTAGCAGCTGCAATAAATACTAAGTTGCTTATCACCTGAACAACTTATGCAAGAAACCAGGTGGTAAACATGCCTCACTATGCACTCCACATTATTCAATCAGTGATTGGCCACACACATACACAGGTCGTTCTGATTTCTTCATGCACAATAACAGCATAGCCATAACAACACTGAATGTCATGCTTTTTTGGTTTGGGTTTTGGGTTTTGTCTCCAGGTATTTTTGTTTTGTTTTTGCCCAGTTTTATGCTTTGGATCATTCCCATGTGACCACAAGACCCTGGGATTCAATCCTGGCATCCAGCATCCAATGCATAACTTAGACCACGGAATCATCTCTATTTTTAATTTGAAGTGTATGCTTTTTTAAATTAATTTTTATTTCTTTATTGTAGCACTAGGAATTGAACCCAGGGCCTCAAATCTGCAAGGCAAGTACTTTATACCTGAATGGCACCCATAATCTCCCCCCACAGTCACACATTTTATGTACATGCAGTTGGTGACATATAATGCATTTCAATAAATTAGTTATAATTAAATTTCTGATCATGCATGATAAAAATCAAATCAAAAACATACATAACTGAGTCACATCTGAAAGTGGTGGATATATGCCTTATAATAGGGAAGAGATTGATATAGAAATAGTTAAATGACAGAAATTCATATTTTATAAATTATTTGTCCATAACTAGTAGATCAATTCACATATGAAAATGTCATAATTTTCAGAGAAATACATGCAATAAAGATATACACATCACAGAAGAACTACAGGACTACAATATAACTAGAAACAAAAACACTAGTAGGAGCTATAAACTTCTACATTGGATTGTTATACAGTATTCACTAACTTCTAAAATATCCAACCAAAAATAACTGAGAAAAATTATAATGATAGCTATTAGTTCCTATTTGAAGACAGCCTTCATTATGACTCTGCTTTTTAATTTTATTTGGAAAAGCTGCATTCAAACAAGATTTTATTTACCAAGACAGGCATATATTTTTGTTCCAAATTCATAATCTAAGTTACATGAATGGACATGAAGTAAAGTTCTGAGAGGGTCAGTATTTCACCATGAAGATTCAACAATGATGGTTATGTCAAAATTTACAGAAGAGGAGATATTTTGTTTGCAGAAATAAGAGTCTTAATTATAGGTCGTACTGGAAGTTTCAAATATAAACACAAAGATAAATAAATAAAAAATAATACACCCACCAAGCAATTTAATCCCAATGGAGGAAAACTTGTACATATAACCCCCATTCTATGTTGACATGAGTATATATACAAAGGAAATATATAGTGTTTGTGTAGTAATAAACAACTATTCTTCATATTGAAGACTGTTGTGGTTATTCAAAGACCACGTTAACTTTGTTCATTTCAAGTTGTATTTTCTGCAGAAACCTCTTGGATTCATGTATTTAGTAGTTTGTTAACCACTCTGGTAGGCAGAATACATAATAAAAGAACCTGATTGTAACAAAAGGAATAAAACTCAGCAAATCACTTCAGGGAGTGATTACAAAAGTGAATGATTATGGCTTCAATTTCTTCTAGGATAAAATCACATACAATGCTTTGACTGACCAGTGAGTTTTATTTACCAGGGTAAAGTTACTTACACCATTAATTCTAACTAAATGATAGATAACTAGGATGATAGATGACATCTGATAAATTATTAGTATTAAATGCACTGTAGCACTTTAGCACTGTCCTACTGTTGTTCATCAATTTGCTCAAGCATCCCAGTAATGTCTCCATTGTGAGACTTGTTACTGTGTTTGGCATACCGAATACGCCACAGGGAGTTTGCCAGTCTTTGCCATGTGGGTGAGTTACTCTCAGTAGCTTGCCGGGCTCTCCAAGAGGGGCGGAGGAACCGAACCTGGATCAGTTGGACCGATCGCGTGCAAGGCAAATGTCCTACCACTTGTGCCTAATGAAATAATTTCTTAACATTTTTTATTTAAAACGTGGAATAAATACTTTGGGTAAATAGGAAAATTAATAATGGGGAAATAAAGTCTAAATATCAAAGAAGAAAAGTTAGTAGTGTGATTTTCTTTGCTTCCAGTCCATTTCGCAGTGGCCCCACTCTCCCTCCCAACAATCTGGAATTCTATGCCTGTAATCTACTGCCCAGCATTATTTATCAGTTGACATTATTCATGCCATTCGTTTGTTTCTCTGTATACACAAGTTTCACATCAGTGGTAGGTCTTGGGCTCATGGATGGTGGCTAAGTGAAGTAACAGTATGCTCTAAAACCATAAGTGTCAATCAACAAATAGTGGGACAAACCATAGGAGAGGAGATGCCAAGGTAACATGGGAACAATGATGGAGGGCCATGGACATCTGTTGGCCGTGGTGTACAACATCTGTTGTCAGTGTTGCACCCAACATTATAAGCTTAAACATTATTGTAACCCTATTAAGGTTACAGTTGTTTTTAAAAACCTGTGTTTTAAAAGTAGACTTTGTGCAGGCTGGGGATATAGCAGGAAGAACAATTGCCTTACCTGCAGCAGACCCAGGTTCAATTTCATGCACCAAATATGGTGTCCCAAGCCCCACCAGGAGTGATCCCTGAAAGCAGAGGCAAGAGTAAGCCCTGAGCACTGCTGAGTATTACCCTCCCAAAATTAAATTTAAATAAAAGTAGACTTTATGTAGTAAAATATTTAAATGATTTTTTAAAACATAGTGAGTTACTCAAAATATGAGACTAACACTCAAGAGTGGCCAGGATTAGTACCAGGAGGTTTGCTCCATGGCTTGGAAACCAGCCACACATGCTAGGGGGGAAAGGGAGCTCAGATAGAGAGGGGAGCACCAAATAAAGGATGTTGGGAGGATCCTCCCAGGATGGGAGAAGCATACTGAAAGTAGACTATAGACCAAACATGATTGCCAATCAGTGCCTCTTTTGCAAACCACAACACCCAAAAGGAGAGAGAGAACAAAAGGGAGTGCCCTGCCACAGAGGCAAGGTGGGATGGGGGGGTGGGGGGTGGGATGGGAGGGTTACTGGGATCAGTGGTGGTGGAGAATGGGAACTGGTGGAGGGATGGGTACTCGATCATTGTATAACTGAAACCCAAGCACAAAAATTTGCAAGTCTACAACTGTCTCACTAATAAAAATTAAAATAAATTTAAAAAAAGTAGTGAGTTACTTTTATTGCATGGCGCAATTAGAGTAAACGATAATAAAATCCTAAAAATTAAGTGGGAAGACAAAGTTCTATTATTCACCATGTAGTTAAAGAATAATCATTTCTGTCCTCATTACATTGGACTTGAATCCTGGTTACTTTTGAGTCCAAAAACAATTTACTTTCAGTTAGTTGCCGTTTCAAAGAATCTTTTCAGAGAACCCTTGATATCTTTGTTTCTGAGACTGTAGATATAAGGGTTCAGCATGGGTGTGACTACAGTATACATCACTGAGGCTGTGGCACTGGAATGTGAGCTGTGAACAGCTTTGGAGCTAAGATACACACCTAGACCTGTAGAGTAAAACAAGGAGACAACGGAGAGGTGAGATGCACAGGTGGAAAAGGCTTTGTACTTGCCCTGAGCTGAGGAGATTCTCAGGATGGAAGAGACGATCTTTAAGTAAGAGAAAAGAATCCCAGCAAATGGACCTCCGCCCAAGAGAACAACAGCAGTATACATCACTGTATCATTAAGAAAGGTGTCAGAACAGGACATTTGGGTCAGCTGGTTGAATTCACAACAAAAGTGGTTGATGTCTGAGTTGTTGCAGAAGGAGAGACGCAACAGCATTAAACTATGTAACAAGGAATTGAAAACACACAGCATCCAGGACCCGAGAAGCAGAAGTCCACACACCCGGGGGTTCATGATGACCATGTAGTGCAGGGGGTGACAGATGGCCACAAAACGGTCATAGGCCATGATGGTCAAGATAATGTCATCCAACACTAGGAAAAGTTGGAGAAAGTAGATCTGGGTGATGCAGCCCGCATAAGTGATAACTTTGCTCTGTGTCTGAATGTTCACCAGCATCTTGGGGATGGTGGTGGAGGAGAAGCAGATGTCCACAAAGGACAGGTTGGACAGGAAGAAGTACATGGGCGTGTGGAGGCGAGAGTCAGAGATGACGGCCAGGATGATGAGCAGGTTCCCGAGGACAGTGATCAGGTACATGGAGAGAAAAATCCCAAAGATGAGAGGCAGCAGTTCTGGTGCTTCTGTAAATCCCTGGAGAATGAATTCCTCAACTTGTGTGGCATTTTCTTGTATCATGAGGTCGAAGAAACTGACAAAAGAAAAAATATATAGACAATGTGACTGCCTTTCATCCAGAAAACCATTACTGGGGCCAGAGTTATAATATGGTGGGTAGTTCTTGCTTTGCACACGACCAACCCTGGTTTGATCCTCAGGACCCTATATGATCCCTCAAGCCCACCAGGAGTGATCCCTGAGCACAGAGCCAGAAGTATGTCCTGAAACACTGCCAGATGTGGCCCCCCAAACAAACAAAATCAACACTACTAATGCTGTGGGCATGTTACAATTTCTTTCTTGAAACATCTATATTGGTTGAAATTCCCAGTTTGAGGGCTCTCCTATGTCAGCTCAGTTGGGAATTCCATTCCACACTCATCTTTCTGCCGGTGCCATAAACTCACACTCTCCCTCAGAAATTCTGTACTCACTGGGGAGATACAGGTTGAACATTGCACAGAAAGGAGACAAGGAGATTCATGGACAAAAGTCCCTACAGTTCAAAGATGGAATGAAAATAAAGGACATCAATGCGAACTACTGACAGTACAGAGATGGAAAAATAGGAACAAGATGCTCTGAAAGTTTAGATGGTGTATTTCCCCCCCATCTCTGGCTATGAATACCAGCAATTAGATAGGTAGAAACTTTCTGAAAGAGAGCAAAGGAAACATGTTTTTCCTGTGAAATGTGCATCAATTAGAAGTACCAACAACACAAAGATTTTCAGGGTTATACCACTTTCAGAAAATCATGGTTCAAAGAAAGACAGTGCATGGTGAGAAGTAGCAAAATGAGAGGGAAAAAATGTGGTGTTGCAGCAGATAAGTACATGGTTTCCATGCCACTCCTACGGCTTAAAGAAATGACTATCCATGTCCATGATTTTCTCCATACTTTTCTGTTTCAGAGAGGGCAAATAACTCCTATGAATATTGTTTAAATTTCCATCTGGCAGCTAGGTTTCTAATACATGATTTTTAAGGTCACAGATTGGAATATAGAACCACACCTACTCCTACCTTGGAAGTTGTTCTTACACACACACACACACACACACACTGAAGCACATTAAGACCTACTGGACCTATGTAACATCTTAAAATTCCTTATTCCTGGTAATAATCAGGTTATTTATAGTACTCATAAGTTGTCAAAATTTGATGTTATTTACCATAAAGAATAAAAAAATTATGCCCGCTTTCCAGTTTTGGTGAACCTTCACAGACATGAAGACAGAGAATTTTGTTTTAATATGACTATTACATGTCTTTATTTATTTATTTATTTATTTATTTATTTTTGCTTTTTGGGTCATACCCGGCAATGCACAGGAGTTAGTACTGGTTCATGCACTCAGGAATTAGGGACACTGGGAATCGAGCCTAGGTCAGCTGCGTGCAAGGCAAACGCCCTGCCTGCTGTGCTATTGCTCCAGCCCCTACATGTCTATATTTAAAGAAACATAAAATCAGCTATTACTGTTAACTGCTCCCTGAGAGAATATGATGAGAAAAAAAGATTCTGTGGTTCTGTCAGCCTACAAACTATTACTTTGATACCACAAACAGACATCAAATAAGCTAAAAATTGAGGCAGAGTGAGAGTACCTGAGCATACCCAGGTGTGACCCACACATGCACACACACACACACACACATACACACAAATAAAAGAGCTGATTCAACAAAGAAATACATATCTTTACAATGTCAAGATATGTTTTATGGAGGTTGTTCTTTTTGTTGTGGCCATATCAACTGTGATCAGGCTACTCCTGGTGTTGTGTTGAGGGATCACTCCTGGCAGTTCTAGGGGATGCCACAGATTGAACCCAACTTGACTGCATACAGTTCAAGGGCTTACCCACTGTACTGTCACTCCAGCCCCCAAGATAACTTCTAGATGGAAAAATTCCTAGAGCAAAATGAGAAAGAGGACTAAACATACAGGAGGACTAAATTTCCCTAAGAAACATATAATGCTCAACAGTGTCACCATTAATTTCAAGGTTTTTTTTGTATTGAAAGATTACAAGATGCATTGCTGTATCATGTAAACTATAAAACTGCTGGACCCAAGGAAGTCAATTTTTTTTTCGCTTTTTGGGTCACACCTGGCAATGCACAGGGGTTACTTCTGGCTCCTAAACTCGGGAATTACTTCTGGCAGTGCTCAGGAAACCATAGGGGATGCTGGAAATCGAACCCGGGTCAGCCGCGTGCAAGGCAAACACCCTACCCACTGTGTTATTGCTCCAGCGCCAAGGAAGCCAGTTTTAAGCCATGATAAGACCTCTTCCATTCTGGGTGTGAATATTCTTACCTAAACAGGTGTGATAACACAATCCACTCTCTCAGTGGTGCAAAGGTTTAGTCAGTGTATAGTAAGTCTTTCTTTTAGGAAAGAAATCATAGTTAATTGTGGAGAAATTAAATACATCTTCACTTCTCTCCCTCAAATGTCTTCATTATTATTATTATTATTATTATTCCTCCAAACACCCCATTTTTTAAGAAGACACTTCTTGGGATCTATGAGTAGAGCGGGCAGGGCACTTGCTATGCATGCAGCCGGCACCACCATACGTTCCCCCAAGCATGGCCAGGAGTGATCGCTGAGCTCAGCACCATGAATAAGTTCTGATAACAGTCAACTGTGGCACCTCCCCACCAAAAAGAGTCAAAAAGACACCTCTTCATCACTGCCCACACTCCAAGCAAACAAACATCACCTCTTGTCTGTAGTTAGATGCTCTGGTGACGGTGACCTCTAGCGTAAGTTTCAAGTTTCCTGATCTCTGAGTCTTTCCTCAACCACACAGTGGCTCCTCAGACCCAGCCGGATAGAGTCATGAGGGGTCTGAGAGGAGAGTCCTCATGTGGAAGGAGAAATTGTTCACTGGGTGGCTAATGATGGGGAGAGAAGATCGATTTTCCCCATGCCACAAGACTGTAGGAAGGAGTCAAGTCCAGCTCCCCAATCAGACTCAGGAATCAAGAGTAATGTAGTTCCTGCCCAGCCTCAGGTTGAATAAATTTAGGGGCTTTGGTACCATATTTACCTCTCCAAGGTTCTGCTCATTAGGCACATTTCCATCTCATTACTCCTATGCACCTAATTTTCCCATGGGGTATCCATCTGAACAGCATGGAACTTTTATAACTGATCCCAAGAGAAAAGGTCATGAAGTGAATGTGTGCTTTATTACACTTGGGTGAATTCTCCTTCCTTCCAGATACCTAACTTCTAACGACCTTAACCCAACCTTAATTAAGGTTTTCAAGTCTAAGATGGAAGATTCCACCAGGATTAGTGCCATTGGGTCTTTAGAGCTCTGCCTTGTGATGGGGATCTGGTCCTTCCTCTCTCATTAAAAAAATGTCATTAGCACATCAAAGAGAGAAAAACTGTATCCTTGGAAAGAAAATTTTAGGCACCTCAGTCCTTTCTGCATTGTTTACTTTGGCCAGAACAAGAGTAATTTTCTGCTTATATCAGAAGAAAAGTGATAAATATTAAATGTAATCAAGCAATCACTAATATTTGGGGGTACACCAAGTTGTGCTGAGGGTTTACTCCTGGCTCTGCACTAAGGGAATCACTCTTATTTGGGCTTGAGGGACCATATGAGATGTCAGGGATCAAACCTGGGTCAGACAGTGGCATGGCTAGTACCTTACCCACTGTGCTATCTCTTCAACCCCTGTACTTACTAACTATATCAGTTGGGATTTTTTCCCCATTTTATCTGTTATCACCTTGTGAATAGATCTCTTCTTACATTTTTATACTCTATTCTATAAGGTAATATTAGGAATCCAATTCACCACTTCCTTTTTCCTTCAGTGGTAACTGAATGAATTTACTACTTTATCCCAAGTTGTAATCTAAGTGAGAGCTTGCCACTAGAATTCTGTCAGAAAGCTTCCATTTTTCAAACCTGTGTCAGTGGATTGAAACCAGAGATGCATTTTTTCCTTGAGGAGATTTGGCTGTGTCTGCAAAGACACTACACATCTCTAATGCAAATAAAGCCCCCAGCACTCAAAACTGTCTCATCCCAGAGACCAATAGGTCTTCTATACAAGCAATTTCCATGTTCAATGTAAGACAACTCCAAATGTAGATTCTGATTTAGAAACTCCTCAAGAGTGCAAAGGTGTTACTCCTTCGATAACTTCCCAGTTGGGGCTGAGGTTTCCAGTCTCTGGTTTAAAGAGAAAAACCATGTTCCTGTGTGAAATAAGGAGCTGGAGAAAGTCTTCTAAACCAAAATGGCCTTTTTGCAGATCATTGGAAAATAATACTGCCTGTATTCATTCTGATGGTATTATAAATCCTGTGTCTAATTCTCTCATTCAAGGTTGCTTGAATGACACTGTGAAGTGGGGACAAGAGAAGCAGTTGCCCAGCATGGTCAACTCTGTGTGTGAAATAGTCCCGGCCACACACATTCTCAGGGACCTGAGAAATTCTAGCATGGAATTGCTCTTTTCAGGAAAAAGAAAGATCAGTTCCAACTCCTAACCAGGTTCTCTATAAGTCTCTTGCTTATCCTTGCCTAGAAGAATTTCTGGAAGAGATGAAGAGTGAAGGAAGACAATTTCTTTTAGAGATCATGAGGAGGCAAAGGGAACAATTAAGATGTTCAAGAGGGAATGTGACTTTTCCAAAAGGAAAAGAGTCTTAAGTGACTTTAGGGGTGGGTTTTTATGTGAATATTTTTAAAAAATTATTTATTTCTTTTTTGGGGGGTCACACCCAGCAATGCACAGGGGTTACTCCTGGCTCTGCACTCAGGAATTACTCCTGGTGGTGCTCAGGGGACCACATGGGATGCTGGGAATCGAACCTGGGCTGGCCGTGTGCAAGGCAAAAGCCCTACTTGCTGTGCAATTGCTCCAGTCCCTAGATGATTTTGAATATTTTATTTGATTGCATATTTTTCAAATCACCTTCACCTAGTTTTCTGCTGACATCAAACTTAATCTGTGTATTATCACAGAGGAAAA